ATTATGGAATTTTATGTACTATATCAAGGAAATTAAACCTTAGCTTATGTTAATTACCCCAATTTATTGTAATTTAGCTCATCTAATATGTTTTTGTTAGCTAATATTTTAATCAGAGTTAAGGTGCCAGAATTTGGTCATCTTGAAAGAAATGGCATAAATGCAGATATGCTGTACAAGGGTGGGTTGTCAAAGATTAAGGTGACATTAGATTGTACTTAAATGAAGTTTGAGGATTGAGATTTCTTAAACTCATTCAGAATAATTGACAGTAGTACCCAAAGGCCTGGTGTTGCCACTTTTAGATTCGAATTCACAACTCACAAAACGATTTGTCAATTGGAATACTAATACAACTATACAAGTATCACTTTTGGGTCATTACATGTTTAGATCGAGTTATGTTGGGTCAAGTTGTCCTCATTTCGGGATCGCATTTGGGTTGAGCCAAATTTGGTTCAAGTCATGTTAGGCTGTTTACCCCTTGGTTGGGTTTGATTTAAGTTGAACTTTGCATTAAAACATTTGAGGGAAGTTTAATTTTGAATTTAATGCCTTTCAATTGCGGGATAAATTTTGGGTTGGAAATTACTAGGTGTGATAAACTTCAAGTTGGGTCAATCTCATGATCAGGTCAAACTCAAGCTGAAAAAATACAAATCAAATCACTACTGGGTTGAGTCAAGTTTGAATTGGATCACTATTAGATTATTAAAGTTTGAATCGAAAAGATTTTATTAACGAAGACTTAATTTACATTAATGAAAACAAAGCTTACATAGAGTATTATGATTTGAAGAAAAAAGTTTATATGAAAGAGACATTTCAATTAATTGTTTCACGTCTAAAGAGGCTATTGATTTGATCCATATCTTGAAAGAATTTATAATATTAGTCTAAAGAGTCTGTTGATTTGATTCCTATCTTGAAAGAATTTGTAAATTTAGTCTAAATAGGCTATTGATTTCATCTCATATCTTGAAATAATTTATATTTTTAATCATAAATATTTTTCTAATTAAGGTATCGGATTAGTAAATTTGGATTTTGAGCTCAAAAAAAAAAATTTCTATCTTGAAAAAATTTGTAAATTTAGTCTACAGGCCATTGATTTCATTTCATATCTTGACATAATTTATATTTTTAATCATAAATATTTTTCTAATTATGGTATCGGATCAGTGAATTTGGATTTTGAGCTCAAAAAAAAAAAATTTGCTCCCATTCCTTTTACTGTTCTTGTAACTATTTATGATGTGTGAAAACATTTTAAATTACTCCCAATATATAAGAAATAAAATAATTACGTAGAGTCTTGTTTAATTTGTCTCATGCTAAAAATATCAAATTTAAATAATTTTTACATAATTCAAAATAATTATCTAAGATGTTTATTGACAAAAGTATATAATTAAAACAAGAACTTAAAAAAATGGATAGTAATGATTTCGCCCTCTGTTATTTGTTTTAAATGCATTATTTTGACCAGTACATTTGCTGAAATGAATGTGATTACTCCCATCATACATGTTTTCAACCAAAGTAAACGGAGCCTACAAAAATGAATACAATTCCGTTGCTTGGATCATTGGTGCCAATTTCTTCAAAGATTGGAGACTAAAATTTCATTTTGAGGCCTATGTCTCCTTGCCACCAAAAATAATTATAAACACTAATCAAATGGTATATGCACTCAACACTGCACATAAGAACTTAAAAATAAAAACATGGAGTCAAATAAAACATTACTAACAATCAATAACTATATACTAAAAGACACACCAGCAATGACACGTGTCGATTTCTGGTGTGTTCTTAGTATATTTTTTTATAATTAATTACTAAATTTTATTTAAGGAAGTTATTTTTTTTAAAAAAAACAAGATGATTTTTGTCAACTATTAGCAATAATATTTACCATTTTTATGTTGATACTCAATTAATCACGGAATAATAAGGAAATAGGCCAAATTAGAAAATAACACCTGCAAAAACACCCAATTTTGATTATAGCACCAAAACATTTCGAAATTTTATTATAACACCTACAAAAATCCCAAAATTTTGGTTTCACCACCCACTAACGGACTTTTGGATAAAAACCGTTAGTGGGGCCTGCCATGTACATGTGTCAGCTGTGTATTGGTTTAAAAAAAAAAAGAAATTTTTTTTAAAAAAAAAAAACCTAACCCCCTAACCCAGCCAGCCCCACCACCGGCACCACCTGCCAAGCCGCCGGCATCACCTGCCCTCGCATAATCCGGCGAAACCAGCCCCAGCCCAGCCCTGAATTTGACCCGCGAAAAACCTTCCGGATTAACGCCTGTAATTGACGGTTTCCTGAGCAGCGAAATCGCCGGAACTTCACCAACGAAACTCACCGGATTCTGCAGGATTTCAGCCGGTTTCTTGAGCCACGAAATCTTCCGGACAACCACCTGCGAATTGACGGAGAACCACCTGCGAATCTGCTGAATTTCGCAGCGATTTCAGCCTGTTTTTGCGCAGCAACACCACCGAAATTTAGCTAAGACAACTTCCGGTTTAACGCCTGAAATTGACGGAGAACCACCTGCGAAATTTCGGTTGGTGCTGTCAGCGATTGTTGACGGTGGTTGAAGTGTTGGTGGCGCTATGGGGGAGCGACTGTTGCAGCTGCAGTTGGGAATTGATGGTCGCAGGTGGTGATAGCTTTTAGGTGCGGTGGCTGAGGTTGGGTTCTTGGTGAGGCTAGGGGAGGGGGTCGGTTTCTGGCGGGAGGAGAAAGAGGGTGGTTTCAGGTAAGGGGCTAGGTAAGGGTGGCGCTGGCGGTAGGGCTGGGCTGGGGCTGGTTTCGCCGGATTATGCGAGGGTAGGTGATGCCGGCGGCTTGGCAGGTGGTGCCGGTGGTGGGGCTGGCTGGGTTAGGGGGTTAGGTTTTTTTTTTTTTTTTTTTTTTTAAATTTTCTTTTTTTTTTGAAACCAATACACAGCTGACACATGTACATGGCAGGCCCCACTAACGGTTTTTATCCAAAAGTCCGTTAGTGGGTGGTGAAACCAAAATTTTGGGATTTTTGTAGGTGTTATAATAAAATTTCGAAATGTTTTGGTGTTATAATCAAAATTGGTTGTTTTTGCAGGTGTTATTTTCTAATTTGGCCTAAGGAAATATATAATATTTTTCAAGAAGATGTATTTTTGGTAGAATATTTTTTATGAATATGATCTTGATCAAATATTCCATGTTACTTCAATTTTGTTCAAGATATTAAACAATTTTGTTCAAAAGTAATTAAAATAACGTACTGTGCATGGCACGGGACCTAACCTAGTAATCTAAAAAGTAAATGTTGTCAATTCAATCAAACATATATGGGTTTAATTCCTGGTGCAATAATCAACAAAACTAATTAACAAATGACAAAACATACAAAGTACTTTGTATATACTATCCCTCTCTCCCTCTCTAAAAAAAAACCCTAAAAAAACCCTAAAAACTTTGGCAACCGCAAGGGGCTACCATCATCATCTCTTTGATGATGGTAAGCCCCATTTCTTTCTTTATTTCCTTTGTTTTTTTTGTTTTTAGCCATTAATAATTCTCCTTGCTCTCTCTTTATGAGAGTTTTCTTCCCAATTTTTGGGTTTGTTCTCTCCTTTTGTGAGAGTTTGGTGTTTGTATTTCTTCTCTTCCCTTATGAAGATTGGAATTTATTTTTAGGGTGTTATTTGAAAGATTGGATTCATGGGTTGTTATTCGTACAATTTCGCAATTGGCGTTGAAATTGAGGATGCGATCGACATGGTCAGGTAATGAATTTTCCTCCCAAAACTATGTCAAGAAAATGGATTCCCTCACAGAAGGCTGCATAATTCAGCAAACAATCGGGAACTGTACTTCATCGTCAGATCTAGTTTCTCATCATCATAGTTTCTTTAAAGAGGATTTTTACTTGATTAATTTAAATTGTATTTTATTTTTCTATAATGCTTATTGTAGATGCCGTATGGCTTTCAATTAATGATATTTTATCTTTCCCTTCAAAAAAAAAAAAAAAAAAAATTAACAAATGACAAATAAAAAATTATATCATGTGGCAACTAAATCCTCTTAGTGAAAGGGACACCAATGGACCTCAAATTTATTTGAAGTTCAAGAAATATGGTTGTAAATTTTGAATTTAACTTTCCTACTCGTATTTTTTAGGGGAAAATTAGAATTTAACTTAATTAAAATTTAGGAATTTAACTTAATTAAATTTGAGATCCCTAATTTGAAAATTTGTTCCCTAATTAAAGTACACACAGTTAGGGGTGTACAAAAACTGGACCGGACCTGAAACCGGACCTGAACCGACCTGATCCGGACCGGACCTGACCCGGACCTGTTGATTCAGGTCCGGTCCCGGTCCTTAAAAATCAAGGTTCCCGGTTCCGGTCCGGACCCGGTCTAAACCCGGGGTTTTCAGGTCCGGACCTGAAACCCGGAAAATTGTTTTTTTTTTTTAAAAAAAAAAAAAAAAAAAAAAAAAATTAAAATAATGCTGCTGCTTGACAGCTTGAGGCCTTGAGTGACGCTTGAATTCTCTTTCATTTCATTCTAACCCTAACAAACAGGCTGTCTCCCCCTCTCCCTCACGCAGACACGCAGTCACGCAAGTCTCAGCCGAGTCAGCCCAACGCGGCAACGCCCACCGCCGACACCTCCTGCCTTCCTCACTCTCTCAGGCGAAGCCCAGGCGCCCACCGACCACCGCATGAGACAGCTACTGCGCGATTTTCCATTTCTCCGGTAAGTTATTTTTTTTTTAATGTAAATCTAAATTATCTAATTATGTTTGGGTATTTTGTATTCGAAATAATGAATTAAGTGTTAGAATTTATATGTTTATTCATGTTTCAATTGCTTATAATGATTATTTGATGTTTGCATGTTGAATTTCTTTTTTTTACTTCAATGTTTTCGAATTTATGTTTTTTCTTTTTTGGTTTATTTTCGAATTTCTTTCGAATTTATGTTTTTTTTTTTGGTTTTTTTTAGTTTAAAGTTTAGGGTTTTAGGGTTTAATGTTTAGAATTGATAACAAGTATGGTTTATCTTCGAATTTATTTATTTTTATGTTTTGGTAATGGGATTGTAGCAGAGGACAATTAGTTTTTCATCATGATTGCATTGTTTATTTTTGTCAAGTACCTGAATTTCTTAGACTCCTTTTGGTTGGACTTTGAAATTAGAGAAAATGCAATTATTTTGATTTCAAAATTAGAAATTGAGAGAAAGGTAGAAATTAGCTTGGTTGATATATGATAAGTTGGAATGTGCCTCTGAAATTGACATAAACTTCAGCAAGTAACGTGTAACACAAAAGAGAAAAATAAAAAGGAAGAGAACAAACAATGAGATTATGAGAGCAATGAAATTTTCTGACTGCGACTAGCTAGAATTACCATTGGAACTGCTGGATAGAGTCTGAGAGTTTCTGTCAATGCAGCATGTAAATACTGCATTCTTTCAAGTGATTCTTCTGTCAAACTAGCAGCAAGTTCTGAAAATTTTCCTACAAATTCACACAGAAAGAATGCATTAATCTCCTCAGTAAACCGATATGATTACAGACTTCTAAGTTATGATTCACTTACTGAGACATTGCTTTGTGAACTTTTCATTAGTTCCACTTTGTTACTGATTAATTTGTAAACAAAATCATCAACAGTTTTGACACTTCTCTTAAGTTTAGCCTCTGCGCCAATGTTGAGAAATTTCTTGATAGGCCAAAAGATGTCTACATATCGTAACATGGTTGAAGCACTAGCATCATCAAAAGCCTGGCCAAATTTCTTCCCTTCTTCATTTGAGCCACACATACTGTCTAGATCAACTCCAAATGCAACTTTGAAAATAGAATCTAACGTTGACTTCATAAACAAGTCCTATAGAAAGCCATTTCAAGTTAGTTCGTTACTCCAAAGTCTCCAAAAGTACATAGCTCATCTTATCAGTAAAACACTTTTGTCCAATACAACCAGTAAAACACCATCTTACCTGAATATCCATAATTTGGGTGGAGTGTCACGGAAGGCGGCTAGGGGTGGGGCTGCCAATGAAGCTGGTTGTGTACTTGTGTTGTGTTGTGTGGGCAGTGGTGGATCTGGGTATTGACATAAATTTCAGAAAGTTGGTTGTGTTGTGTTGTGTTGTGTTGTGTGGGCAATGCCTCTCTCATTTTTTTCTTAACATAAATTTCAGAAAGTTGAAAGTATTTCTAATGTGTATTGATATTTCTAATGTGTATATATGGACACTTTTTAAGCTAACTTATACTTTAAAATTTGTGTTTATTCCTGCTAGGCTGCTAAAAGTATGGACTCAGATTATTAAGATTAAATAAGTTGGCTAACCTGTGTGTAGTTCAGGGGTTCTTATTTTTGTTTTTATTCTTGCAGGGAGTGAAGGAAGTCAAGGAACCACGGATTCTTATTCTTGCAATGTAAGTTGCTCTTAATTTTTTTTTATAAAATGGTATGTGTATATAATTGTTACTTTAAAATTACTTATATTGTATATAATTATATTGTAGATGGAGAGCTCTCAATCCAAACGGTCTGCTTCTTTTTCTGAACAAACGTCACAGCCACTTTCTGAAAAGGATATGGAAGAATTGCAATCTACTTTGCCTCCTGATAAGAAGCTAAAAGCGGGGCGGGAATATATATGGAACAGAAAAAGTAAGAGGAAAGCTGAGTATTGGAAATATTACTTAGAGTACGTCGAGAATGGAAAACTACGAGCTGAATGTAAGTTCTGTCCTAAAACTTTTGCTGCTGATGGTAATCTTAATGGTTCAAAAAATGTTAAAAACCATGCAGAATCATGTCTCGGTAATCCTATTAATATAGAAAAAGAAAAGGGCAAAGAAAAGCAAACTAAATTGTATTTTGATCAAGAACATGAGAGTAGTGAATTAAAGTGTGGGAGTAGGATTATTAACTTGAATGATGTTAGAGAGGCATTGATTCACATGATTATTGTTGATGAGTTACCATTTAAGCATGTGGAAAAATCCGGTTTTAGGCACTTTGTGCAAGTTGCATGTCCACAATTTCACATTCCATCTCGTGTTACCATTGCTCGTGATTGTTTAAAGTTGTATTATAGTGAAAAAGAGAAATTGAGAGAAATGTTTAAGACATGTCAAAGAATTTCTGTGACCACTGATACTTGGACTTCAATACAAAGAATTAATTATATGTGTCTTACAGCTCATTTCATTGATAATGACTGGAAATTGAATAAAAAGATCATAAATTTTTGTCCAATTTCTAGTCATAAAGGAGAGGCTATTGGAAAAGCAGTTGAGGCATGTTTAGAGTATTGGGGTATTGATGATAAACTTTTTACTGTCACTGTTGATAATGCTTCTTCAAATGATGTTGCTTGTGCACACTTGAGTAGAATGGTTAGAAGAACAGGATGTATAAATGATGGAAAAAATCTCCATGTTAGATGCATTGCTCATATCATTAATTTAATTGTGTGGGATGGTATTAGAGAACATGGTGTGTGCATTGATAGAGTTAGAAATGCTGTGAAATATGTTAAGAATTCCCCTGCAAGAATACTTAGATTCAAAGATCTTGTGCAAAAAGCAAACATAGATTCAAAATCTTCTTTATCCTTTGATGTCCCCACTCGTTGGAACTCCACATACATAATGTTGGAAACGGCTTTGAAGTTTCGACGTGTTTTTAGTGGGTTATCTCTTCCTGATGGAGAGGATTTGAATGACAATGAAAGGCCTCCCGAACCCGAAGATTGGGAAAAAGTGGAGAGGTTGGTTTTGTTTCTAGGGGGGTTTTATCTGTTAACTAAACGAATTTCTGGTTCCCATTATGTGACAGCTAATAAAGGTTTAGGAGAAATTGCTTCTATGTATGATATGTTGAATAATTGGGAACAAAGTGAGGACTTGAATATTCAAGCCATGGCCATTGCAATGAAAAAAAAGTTTGATAAGTATTGGGGGGATGTGGATAAGATGAATAAGTTCATTTATGTTGCTCTTCTTCTCGACCCTCACTCTAAGATGGTCATTGTTGAATTGACACTAACGGATATGCATGGACCGGAAAAGGGTACAAAACTTGCTAATGATGTGAAGGAGTTCGCTTACTCTTTATTTGAGGAATATAGAAAAATGTATGCTACTTCTAATATTCCAGATTGTGGAGATAATATGTCAATGGATATTGATAATAGTAAAGGAGTGGGTTCCGATTATGTGAGGAAACTAAAAGAAAGAGCAAAACGATTGAAGGGGACAAGTGGGTATGCGATAAGTGAGTTGGATAGGTACTTAAATGATCAATTAGGGCCGGAGGAGGAAGAACAAGATGCATTGACATGGTGGGGTAAGAATGGTCAGCGTTATGTGATTCTTAATCGCATGGCACGTGACATACTAGCCATCCCATTGTCGACCGTTGCATCGGAATCTGCTTTTAGTACGGGAGGTCGTACTCTAGATCCATTTCGGAGTTCTTTAACTCCTAAGGTAATGCATCGTTATCTTTTTATTTTATAAAATCAAGTTTGTTTATATCTTAATATGACTTTGTTTATACATATTTGTGTAATATTTTTGTATTGAAGATGGTTCAAGCGTTACTTTGCACACAAGATTGGCTTAGAGCTAAGGAAGTGCCAATTGTTGATGTGGAAGAAAATTTGAAAGAGTTAGAGGAAATAGAGAAAGGTAGTAATAATTTTATGTATTTGAAATTTTGTTACACCAAATTTATTATTTCATTGTTATCAATCATTAATATATTCTATATTGTATTTTATTTAGAGGTGCAACGTGGTGAATCTAACGATGTAGACGATGAAGTTGTTTTCGTGGACTCATTAGTGTGAATCACGCGATCAAAGGGAAAACAACTCGTTGGAGAATTTATGTATTCCTAGTACTTGAGAGTTGAGAGTTGAGACTTAAGAGAATTTATGTAATTTTATGAGTTTTCGTGGACTTATTTGTATTTTCGGTGGACTCATTTGTATTTTTGGTGTTTGAGAATCGGGACTTTATAGACTTTATGTAGTTTTGTAATTGATAATTTTGGTTTGTATGTAATTATTAAATTATGCAACAGGTCTAAAAATCACAAAACAGGTCCATATGCAGGTCCATATGCAGGTCCAACAGGTTTTGTATTAAAAAAAAAAAAAACGAAAAAGACACAAAACAGGTCCATTCAGGTCCAAACCCGGACCGGACCTGATTTTTCAGGTCTGGCCCGGAACTGGACCTGTTAATTCAGGTCCGGTCCCCGGTCCTCATAATTACCCAATTCAGGTCCCCGGTCCAAACAGGTCCGGTCCAGGTCCGGTCCGGTTTTGGACCGGTGTACACCCCTACACACAGTATAAAAAGCAGCACAATTATTCCAAATAGACGATTATATGCATAATAAGGTTCAAATTCAAAAGTCAACTCAGACCATTCCCAAACCGACGTCGTTATACAACCATTGGTCTCTATTCGTTAACCACTTTACACTTAATCCATTATTTATTTTGAGATGGGGATGTATTTTAAATGATAGAACGTAAGAGACAATGTGTTCGATCCCTCGCATCTTGATTCTAAAATTTTTAATCACTCTGTACAAAGCAATTATGAGGTCGTTTAAAAAAAAAAAAAAAAAAAAAGAAAAGAAAAAGAAAAAAACTATAAGGTTGTGGGATCAAATCCCATAAATTTGATATCTCACATAGTCACGGCCTCACAAGAAATAAGGATTCCGTCCCCTTCTGTCTTTAAGACTTCATTTGTTTTGACGGAAAACTAACATTTTTTTAGAAAATAATGTCACATTTTTCATTGTTTGGTTAGTAGAGGGATGGAAAACAGTTATCTCGAAGGTGGAAAGTAGTTCTCCCAAAACATGTTTTCCTTCTAAAAATAAGGTATGTCACATTATCCTTCATATTACTTACCTCCCTTACCTTTTCTCTCATTCATCTTCTCCCTTCCACTTCTATTATCCCCTTTCAATATAAATTTTCTTTTAAGGAAACAAATAAAGGAAAACTATTTATAAAATTGTATTTTTCCTAAGAAATTATTACCTCTATTTCTTGTTATGTGCAACAAAGGAATATTTTTATGTATCACCAATAATACCCCTTTATTGCACATAATAATAAACAGAGGTAATATTTTCATGGAGAATCATTTTACCAAAAATTATTTTCCGTTAAAACAAACAAAGCATAAAAGGTTTCTCAGGTTGAATGTACACGTGACAGGGATCTCGCTAGATTCGTCTCGACGTCTACTTTTCAAATATTAAATTTTATAAAAGTATAATTAAAGATATTAATGGCCAAAGTATTGCATTGGCAAGTATGAAATGCAAATGTGCAAAAAAAAAAAAAAAAAGTACATTTCAATTTTAACTCAACTTTTCTTATTTTATCCAACTTTATTTATCTCTTTTCACAAAAGTTTAAAAAGGCGAGTTAATCAAATGCAAAAGCTATAAAGGAAAAAAAAAAAAAACTAAATTTATACTTGTAAAATTTACTCCTAATGTTTAACATAAGTTGATTTTTTTTTTGTGTTCCACCAGGTTCATCCTTTGGACTAATTCGAATTCAAGGATTAGTTGTGGGTGGTTAGGTTCTAATCCCCTCCCAATTGTTGTTGCGGGGGATCGAATACGAATCCTCTCTACAAGTGCAGTCCCAATCACCATTGCACCAACAACCAATTGGTTATAACGATAAGTTGATAACCATATAAACCTTTATAAAAACTTATCTCACACCAACATCTTATTTTTTATGGTCACTTTTTAATCAACCAAATCTTTCTATCTTAATTGTTAGTTCGTCATAGTATAAACATATACTACTAAAGGCAAATGAGACATTTATTTAAAAAAAGAGGAATACTTGCCTATAAGTCTAGTAACAAGATATTAACAACAATAAGGTGGGGACAAATTATTTCTGAATCACTCCATTTTCTATAATTTACTGACAATACATTAATTTCAGAAGTCGTTGGTCCAAGATTTGTACTTTATAAAATATAAAATCCACCATACTTAAATACGTGCATGTCTGCCTCAATCCCCAGCAAATTTGCCACACCACCTAACTCTTGAAGTAATAAACTAAGGGAAACTTCTTGCAAGTCTACCACTGAATTCACTACCTACTCACCCCAAGTATATTAAGCTAAGGCAAACAGAGTACTCTGCTAACATCCTACCAAAGCCATATCTTCCCAACCCCAATGGATTCGACACCCACTCGCCCGGCTCAAGTAGCCGTATGCCCAAGCGCAGGCATCGGACACTTAACACCTTTCCTACGGCTAGCATCCATGCTAACCTCTAACTCATGCAGCGTCACCCTCATCATCATCCGCCCCACTCTATCATTTGCTGAAGCCAACCAAATCAACACCTTCTTATCCACACACCCCCACATTACCGCCTCAGAATTCCACATCCTTCCTTGTGAACCATCTTCAAACTCCAACATCCAAGACCCTTTTCTCCTCCAATATGATGCAGTCTCCCGGTCTGCACACCTCCTCGTTCACCACCTCGCCACACTCTCCCCTCCACCCTCCGCTGTATTCTCTGACCTGATGTTCGCATCAGGAATCAACAAGCCACTCTATGACCTCGGCATCCCTAACTACAATGTCATTACCTCTTCTGCTAGGTTCTTCTCTTTCATGACTAGTCTTACTCATCTTAGAGTAACAAGAGGTGATGATGTTGTGATACCAGGTTTAGCTCCAATAGTAGGAGACGACATTCCACCTATATTTTCTAACACAGACCATATGTTCACTCGACTGATAGAGACAAGTTGTAGGTATCTTCAAGATGCTAAGGGTATTGTACTCAACAGCTTTGACTTCTTCGAACCTGAATCAATCTCAGCCCTTCAAAATGGCAAGGTTCTTGCAGGTCTACCGTCGGTTTTCCCGGTTGGACCATTCATTCCATATGGGTCAATAAACGGTAAGTAAAATTGTAAAATTTTGTTGAAGTATTTGTCTATCAAAAACACTATATTACGTTATATTCTACACATGATTGCACTCAGATTAGCCATATTTTGTTGACTTATGATAAATAAATAAATGAACCACCTAACCAGTAACCATATTATTGATATATAAATTGTTGATTTAGACACATAAGTACAAAAAAAACTATCAATTTGACATAATAAGTATTAAATATTCTTTGAGCTGATTGAAGCATATTTGTTGAATTTTTAATTGCCAGTTTCACCCATATATTAGTAATAGTTGTGTTATTCAATATAAATAAATGAAGTGATGTATAAGCGTTACAGACTTGTTCTAAATTTCGAAACAAAGAATTGAAAAAAAAAAGTATATAAAAGTCCGAATTATGGACTTGTTCTAAATATAATATGTCCCCCATTGTGAGAATAAGTAATTATCGGTTGTTGTCAAAACCTAATAATATATTATACTAGATTAGCTCCCGTGCCATGCACTGTAATTTCACTACAATTAATCAATAAAAGAAAAAAAATTGTATTAAAAATAACATAGATAAAATACAACTATAACATATTTATTATCTTCTTATTTTGCGTATATAATGAAATAAAACATGAAATATAACGAAAGAATCGATTAGACAACTGAGTATATTACAATTACATGTTAGACCATATGAGTGTTTAAAAATTCAATGCTAAATTAGTATCAATTTTCTTTTTATTAACCAAATAAGTATTTAAAATTATGTATTACACTTAATGGACAGGAATATTAACCTCAATTTAATAATATTTAAACAATTTTTTTTACTTAAATATGACAATATATGAAAATATTGGAGATACAAATAAAAAAGAATGAAATTATAATTAACCAAATTTTCTTACATGATTACATGCAGATAAAGTGTTTACAATTTTACGCTATGTTGTTAAACTTCCTTCATTTTGTTATATTATTCGTATTAGAATTAGGCGAGAAACCAATTAAAGTATTAAAATAATCAAAATTCCCATAATAATAATAATAATTTGCGTAGTATGAATCTACTATTTAATAGATTCATCATATTAAATATTGTTACAAAATTACCTTATTAAAAATATATTAAACATTTGAATGAATGAAATATGATGTATTAAAGAAATGTTATAGTACAAAGTAATATTTATTATGATGCATTATCCTATTATTAAAAGATATGAGAAACGGAGTAATAGCTATAAAGGAATATATTTATCATAAAAGATACGTATAAAAGATTTAGAATAATATTATGATAGTTATATTATACTAAAATTCTCCAAAGAAGATTTTCTTCTTTATGATGATTATGTTAAATAATTTTCGCATAAAAAGGAAGGTGTGTTTTTGGAGGGAAAAAAAATACACCAGGAATTGACACGTGTTATTCTTGGTGTCTGTCTTAGTATTATGTTATTATACCTACGGGACAATTTTTTTTAATACTACTATTTCTCAATATATGCATCATTTTAACTTTACATTGTTTATGTTTTCAAAAAAAAGAAAAAAAAAAAAAAAAAAAAACTTTACATTGTTTATAAACTTGTTTTGGCCTTCTATATCTTTGATTATATATTATTAAAAAATATTTAAGTCTGATAATTTAAAAATATACATTGAGATTAAACTTATAACAAATAAAATAACGACATTTACCACTATATATTAGTAAATAAAAGAGATCAAGATTATAATATGAATAGCTAATTGAAATATTATTGTACACCCGTAATTTGTACAGGCGATAACATACCATGGCTGGACAACCAACCATCAAAATCTGTTGTATATGTCTCCTTTGGAAGCAAAACGGTAATGAGCAAAGACCAGATAAGAGAAATAGGGGATGGGCTTGAGAGGAGTGGGTTGAGATTTTTGTGGGTGATCAAGACAACAGTAGTCGACAAAGAAGATAAGGAAGAGCTCAGAGACTTGCTAAGTGAAGCATTTTTTGAGAACACCAAGGAAAGAGGATTAATTTTAAGGGAATGGGTGAATCAAGAGAAGATCCTTGCACATCCGGCTATAGGAGGGTTCTTAACTCACTGTGGATGGAACTCAGTCATGGAAGCTGCTCAAAGAGGGATACCTTTGCTTGCTTGGCCCTTACATGGCGATCAAAGGGTCAATGCCGGAGAGGTGGAGAAGGCAGGATTAGGAATATGGGAAAGAAGCTGGGGTTGGATTGGAGAAAGATTGGTGAAAGGTGATGAGATTGCAATGAAAATACAAGAGATGATGACGAGTGAGAAGCTAAGGGCTAGTGCAACAAGAGTTTGGGATGAAGCTACGAAAGCATGGGAAAAGAATGGAAGCTCGAGAAAAATGTTTGAGACAATTATTGGAGATAAAGTTAGTACTTAGTAGGGTGTGTGTTTCGGGGTTTTCTGATGTCCTGCGGGAGAGTTACAATTCCGAGACTGGAACCGGACGCCTGTACCTGCAAAACAAACGGATGCTCCGGATGATTGGAGATCCGCCTCCGACGGTCAAGTTAGTACTTGATTAAGGAGTAATTAATGCGGAAATTAAAGTGATTGGGTCTCTCTAGGTGAGAGTGTTTAATGTGTGTAATCTGCGTTTTTTGCGTTATCTCCCTTAATGAGGATTAAGGGAGGTATTTATAACCTCGGGAAACGTGTCAATCTAGGTTTAGGTTAACCTTGGGCTGATTGGACTTCCCTCGGAAGTTGGGCCTAGGTGACCGGTTATCCCAGGTGTCACGGGAAGGACACGTGTCGTGTCGTAATTGGTCCATAGTGGACGGATCATTGCTTGACACGTGGCAGACTCCTATTGGCCCATGTGACGGACACATGGCGGAACCTGATTGGTCCACTTGTCAGATGGTGATTGGTGGGGAAAAATCCCCTAATCATTTGTCCCTCACAGGTGGCACGTGACTGGTCACGTGTTACCTGTGACAGGTATCGCCCTGTAACAGGCGACGACCTGCTACAAGTGTCACTCGGCGAGAGGCCGAGAGATTCTCCCGCCAAAATTTTGAATTCTGGAAGTGACCCTTGGCCTTCTCACTTTGCCTATATAAAGGAGTGTTGACTTCGGTCATTTTCACACTTGAAAACTTTGTGAGAGAACATTCGGACCCCTGAACTTGCTCTGACATTTTGGACCCTTTCTGCCTACCGCCTGCTCTGACAAGCCGACTGCAAAGGATTTTCAGAACTTCATCAATCGTCACTCGTTCAGGTAACCGTCGGTTCTCTTACTCTTAATTTTCTCTTTACTTTATTCTTTTTTGAAATGGCACCACGGAAGCACACGACACGACCTAGGTTAGTGATCAGCCGGTCACCGGGGACGGCTGAATCTAGGACTAGGAGTGCCGCCTGCCCTTTTCTGGACCCATCTTTGCCCTTTATACAAAGTCCGACTGTATCTGTGTCTATGCAGAGCATGATGGCCAGAACAAAAAAGACTGCCAGGATCTCAAACTCAGACGGCTCCTCCCACAGGGTGCCGATTAGTGAAACATCTGACCAGGCGCCAGATGTGGAAGTGAAACAAAGCGGCTTGAAAGCCGGCAGTTCTGAGGGAGGAGTCAAAGTGACCCCTTCCCATTTTACAGTTGACAATTCTACATTCTCTCCTGCTCCTTTTAAAGGAGAGGAGGCGGGCCCCTCCGGGAGAGGGGAAGAGTCGTCCTCTTCGGACTCGTCAGAGGACGATTCCGAGTCTAGCTCTTCTGGCCATGCTTCCCTGGACACAGAAGAGAAAAACAGTCGCCTACAAGAGGCGAGGCTTTCTCACACAGTTGAGAAGGGGGACGATTGGGCGGAGCCATCCGCCTCTCACCGAGAGCAAAATACCCCCTACTACTGCACGGTACCTCGGGGCCGGATCACGGCCATGCAAGAGAAAGTGGAGAGCTTTATCGCAAACCACACAATGGGCCCCGGCTTTTTAGTGTTCGTGCCGGATCCAGAAGACACAGTCGTATGGCCGGCTGGTACCAGTTATGATGGCGCCTGCTTTGGCTGCTACGAGGCGGCCATCAAGGCTGGGTTGCGCTTCCCACTACATCCAGCTGTTCAGCGGATCTTGGATGGGTATGAGTTGGGGTTATGGCAGTTAGCCCCGAACTCCTGGGTCAACGTACTCGGCTATGTGGCCGGGTGCGAACTGCACGGGGTGGAGCCGAGCTTCGAGGCTTTCGCCCACATGAACTACCTCAGCCGGACCCCTAAGGCAGGCGGTATCGCTGGTATCAATTGACGAGCCACAGGGGCTACCTCATGACGAGAGGTAAAGCAAACAAATGGAAGGACTGGCGGAGCACCTTCCTCATCATTGAGAGTTCAGACACAGAGCTGAACAAGCGCTTCAACAGGTTGAACAGGAATCCACCCCTTCTTGCAGGCGGCCGCAGCATGCCGCCTGTTCCCCCCAAGGCTAAGAAAGAGATCCTAGATAAAGGACTCTTCAAAGTAGAGTCGAAGGTGAACTCTACTTCAGGGGTACGAGAGCAAGTACCCCTGCACTGCGTCCCGAGCTTCAAATGGCTCTACGACGAGTACTTTTTGGCCGCCTGTGGCCTCAGCAGTCGGTGCTCAAGAGGTAGCCGGCCTGTCGAATACTCTGCTGTTCCGTGCATTTCTTGTTATGACTTTTATTAACTTTGCTATTTGTTTTTGCAGCGGACGCCATGAGCAAAATTACCGCCTCCAAGACTGCGGCGGCCATGTTGCGGGCCTCCATCATGCAACAGTCTTCAATCGACTCCCCCAACAAGGGGGCACCCTTGGTGGGCTTCGAACCTTTCACCCTCTTTTTGGAGTTGTGTTTATGCATATACTGACTCTTTTCTTCTTTTTTAGACGGGCGCTCCAAGAGCTTCTTCTTCCCAACAGCCGGACCCCAAGGCCCGGAGGACGACTGTTACGAGCTCTCCTGGTTCTGCCAGGAAACAAGCGGCGGCTGAGAAACAGCCGGCCACTTCTTCTAAAACTCCAGCTGGGCCACCTAGAAGTATGAAATTGTCCTTGTAAATTTTAGACTTGCTCCCTTCTTTACTAGGTCTAATCCGTTTGTTTATGCTTGATGCAGCCGACCCTCAGGAGCCTGACTTGGTCGAGGTGGCCAAGTCTATGATCAAGGCCGTTCCTCCAGCTGAAAGGGAGGCGGTCAGGGGTGTCGGCACCCTTGACCTAGACGGGATTGCAGGGGTCCTTGCTGAGGTATACTTAGCATATTTTTGAGTATTTGAATTCCATGACGCCTGTTTTCTTTTTGTTTGGAAACTGACGCCTAATCCCCTTTTTACTTAGGCCTTGCTCCGAGTGAACGGCCTTCGCAAGCCGCTTGACCGGAAGAACAAAGAGGTAAAGGCTGCAAAAGCTTTGGCCACCTCTGATTGTGATAAGGCAATGTTTCAAATTGCCCAAAATGAAGTTCTGACCATTGATATTCTTTATTATTAGGCGCAGGCTACCGCCGCTATCCGGGCTCAGTTAGAGGCGGCCCAAAAGAGGAATAGCGAGCTGGAGGCGACAATCAACAACCTTAAGGCCGAGCTGAGACCTCTTCGCTAAAAGATGTCCTCATACGAAACCTTGGAGAAATCCCTGGCGAGCGTAAAGGTACGCCTGGTGACCCAGGAGAAGAGTCTTACTCAGGAGCTCTCGGAAAAGGCCGAGCAAGAAAAGAAAGAGCTGGTCCGGGAGATGATGGAAGACTCTGCTCAAATCCAGCGCATGACTTGGGGCCGCCTCTTCCCCAATGCCGACTTTGCCTCATGGGAAAAAACGTACCGCCAGTGTTCTGATAGATATAATCAAGAGATCCTGGCGGCTGCTGAGGAAGAGGCGTTGGAGGAGGAGGAGGAGCCGGTAGTGGCGCTTGTGCCGCTTGGGGGTAATGCATCAAAGAAGGATGCAGCTGAAGCCGAGTCCAGCAAGAAGAGTGCTGACCAGGCGGCAGCTGCTGATATTGAAGATCTGCCCCCTTCTTAAGCTTTATGTCTTCTTCCCACGGCCTGCGTGCCGTTTGTTTGTATTTACCCGGCCAGGGGGCCGGGGCTCTGAATATTTTGCCGGTCTTTAATGACCGGCTTCCTTTTAATGAATATTTTTGTTTTGCTTCAAACTTGTTCAAGTATTGAATATTCTGATATCCAATTGTACACTATACCGACTGTTTTACATGACCGATAGTTGCAGACATGTACAGATAGTTAGTCACGCCGCCTATGCCCCTGGACGACTGGTCGTCTGTTTCCAGGCTAGACGATCAGTCGGCCATTTATCCAATCGGTATTCGAACCTTTTTTAAGACTGGATCCCCTTTAGGCAGGCGGTTCTGTCATATAAAATTAACCAAGTAGGAAAGTGGTTTCCTACTTGTCATGTTTTTAGGCTAGAGACTTTAGGCCGTCTAGGCCGACTGTTCCCCGCCATATTTAATCTAGTGTGAGCCGGTGCTGTATGAACACCTTTTTAGTTTCATACTAAATTTTTAAGGAGTGACCAAGTAAACATGATTGTTACCTAGTCGCCAAGTAACTGAGTAGTAGAGGTATCAAGCGGTGGGTACCGGTTGTTCCCCTTTATTCGCCAATGTTTGTTGGCTTTTAACTCATAGGTTGTTAACCTAGCAGGAGTAGTGGTTGAGAGCCCCTGTTTGCTAAAAACAGGCGGACGACTCATACCTTTTAGGCTCCATACTAAGTTTGAGAGAGTGACTATGAGTTAACTTTGGTGTTACTCAGTCGCCGTCATTCCTGCTTGAGTAGTAAAGGTACCAGCCGGCGGAGGCCGGCTGAACCTTTTGATTCGCCAATGTTTGTTGGCTATTAACTCAAGAGGTACCCCCTGCATTTATCCCAAGTAATACAGGCGGTCATCTGACTCAGATGTCAACTGCTACCACTGGTTTGGTTAGTGATAGAGTTATCCTTATCTCAAAAACGGCTACGTGGTTGCCCTTGGGGGCAGTCGTATAGGTGCCGTGTAATTAGTTTATAGAGCAATGTTCCACCCAAAAGGGAGCTGCTCTCTGCGACGAATTTCATCCGGAGGGATGCCGCCGGACGCCTGCTATGATGTTGGGACAGGTCGTATTAGTTTTGAAGATTTGATCAGTTGGCTTGGCGCCTGGTCTGATCATTCGGCCTGTGGCCTTGGTTAGTTCTTGGTGAACGTAGGTGCTTAGTAAAAGGAGGGTAGCCGCCTGTTTAGGCACAGGGTCGGCCAGGCCCTGATCATTTTTAGTTAAGTATAAGGGGGGTGGCTGTGTGTTTGGAACCAGTCGGCCCTCTTTTATGGAGAGTAGCCGACTATATGTCCAGACGGCATGCCCCTATGGTGATAGAGTAAAATATTCAATGGAGAGTAGCCGACTGTAAAGGTACAGGCGGCATGCCCCTCTGAAGATAGAGTAAAATACTCAATGGAGAGTAGCCGACTGTAAAGGTACAGACGGCATGCCCCT